TAAAAAAATTTCTATATGTGACACGGCACCAGAGTTAAGTTAGAGTTTTTCAAAATGCTGACATGCCAAGCTCAAAAGGTTCGCCATCACGGGGCTAGTGTAATGAATCCATAAACATATTTTTTGATATGTTATCTTTTTCAGATTTCTGCTAATGAGAAGAAAGCGCACGAGAACTGGGTAAGGTTTTTTCCCTTCCCTTTATCTGGCGCATAGTCGACCACAGCTGAACTTGGATACGTTTTCCTCCAATAGCTCAAAGCGCGTGCGGCAGAAAGAGCTATGGCTGAAGAGAAGAGGGAAGCAGCCAACCTGAGACACAAGTGCGTGGTTTGATCCGTTTTGTCAGTGCTCTTGGAGGTTTTCAAGGCTGTGCTGTGTGGTATTTAATAAGAATTGGTTTCCGATTTCATATTTAAGTCCATTCTTTCTCCATATTCAAGGTTATTAGAATTGACCCAGAAGATGGCGATGCTGCAAGAACCTGTGATTGTAAAACCAATGCCCGGAAGGCCCAGCGCACAGAACCCTCCACGGAGAGGTAGGGAGCGCTCTTGAAGGGCAGCAATCTGTATTTTGGTGCAAACTGAATATAGGTTACTTTTTATTTCTGTGTGTAATATAACGATGCCCTAGAAACAAGCCTAAGAACTTAACACAGTGCGGACCAGTAGTTTTATTGCTGGCTTTACCCAGTGGCCAGATAAGTTTCTGTTGAACGAGTACAAAAAACGTTTTACATAAATGCTAAAGGCATGCTTTAAAATTAAATGCCCATGGCGTTTTGAAGTTACTTATTACATGTTCTTACAAGCTAATATCTTTTTAAAGAATTCTCGTGATTGGCCACAAGCCTTAGAACAGAAAACACGAGAATTCTCGTGATCCGTCCGCAACATGTTAAAGAAAAGAGGTTGCCTGCCGTGGTAACGGTGGACTGTCACCTGCAGGCCCCCTGAGCCAGAATGGCTCTTTCGGCCCCTCGCCCGTGAGTGGTGGAGAATGCTCCCCGCCACCGAGAGACCCGCCCACGAGACCTCTCTCTGCCACGCTCAATCGAAGAGATGTGCCCAGAAGTGAATTTGGTGAGTATTCATATTCACGTCACCTGTAAACTGTTTCAAGAGCACTTTCCCCTTTTATTTGAGAATTCTAATGCAAACTTTTTAGAATCTGTGCCTAACATAGAGAATTTCTTAATTTTACTTATTTCGAATAGTCTACTGCAAGATCTGCTTTAGAACAGAAACCATCTATTTATTATCACTAATATTATTTATCTTACATATAAATACGTAAAGTATGTTTATACTTAAGTAAAAGCATAAATAATATTGTTTTTGCGTCTATTTTTATGTTTTACTGTGATGTGTAAGCCTTTATCTGTAAAACAAATTTCTATAGAGTTCCCTTCTGAAATATTACGAAAGTAGCCTTAAGACTTTATAATTTCTGCAGCAACCATTTCTCACTATAGTATGAAATGCTAGGTCTTTTTTCTATTCATAACTATGTCTATGAGACTCGGTAAGATATGGAAGTCATTACATGCAAACTGAAAAAGGTGAGCCTGCACTCCTGCATCAGCCTGCGGTCCCTAACCAGTCCGTTCATCGCAGGTTTTGTTGCCCTTCTTTCTAAGACGGCTCCTACTTTAATTCTCCAAGTCTGGGCATAAATTGTGATGTCCCCTCATAGGTGCTGGGGGCCCTGTTTTTAATGTTACTTTCAGCGTCGAGCCCTGCCCCGTCCACAATTGGTTTATTCCTCCTGAAAATCCACGCAAGGGCTCTGTTCTTTCTTTCTCAAGGTTCAGTGGACGAGCCTCCACCTCCTCTCCAGTGCTCTGAGGCACCTGGGAGCCCCTCTGCCTCTGGTAGGGACCTGGTGTGTTCAAGGTCTAAAATCATGGAGGCAGCCGGCCAGTGTGGCTCAGTGGTTGAGCCTCAGCCTATGAACCAGGAGGTCACGGTTCCATTCCTGGTCTGAGCACGTGCCCGGGTTGCAGGCTTGATCACCAATAGGGGGTGTATAGGAGGCAACCGGACAATGATTCTCTCTCATCATTGATGTTTCTATCTCTTTCTCCCCCCGGCCCTTCCTCTCTGAAATCAATAAAAATATATTAAGAAAACAACAAAATCATGGAGGCAGGGGGTAGAGAGATTTTTATTCTTCCTCAAAGAGTATGTAACTCAGAGTAAGTCTTACTCATCCTCTGGCTTCGACAGACCCCGGTGCAGCTCCCATGATGAACAGCAGCCCAAGAAGCGCTTCCCCTTCCAGGGTGGGTGAGGGCAAGGTACGTATTTCCGGAAGCACTGCGCTGTGTCCGCAGCCCGCTCTGCGCCTCGTCCATCACTGTCTGTGTGTGCGGTTATATCTCTACTGTCTCATTTATTTTTTAAAAAGCAAACGGTTCCCCAGGAGTTTGAAGGCCCTTCAGTTCCCAGCACTACACCTGTGGCTGAGCATCCAGGAGCAGTGAGTACTGAGGCTGAGGACTGCCCTGGGCTTGGCACACCCGGTGCATTTCTGGAAAGGACACGCAGGCCCTGGCACTAACCTGCCTGCGTGAACTTGCACGGCCGTGTGAGCTTCCTCTGGCCGTGGACTTGCAAGTGTTTCTCCGCTGCTGACCGGTTGACTGGTTTCTGTTTTGGTTCGGTGATTGTGTTTCTCCGCTGCTGAAATCTGACCGGTTGACTGGTTTCTGTTTTGGTTCGGTGATTAACCCGTTTGGAGTGCTATATTTAACTAAAACACGTGCACAGGCATCGCTCCACCTTTACATGGCGTGCTTCCGTGTTGAGCGCTCTCAAGGAAAGTAAATCCGCCGTGTGGTGCATAGCTCATTGTCAGTACATGTGCTGGGAAGTCTGCTATTTAAGACCCTCTCCAGTTGTCCAGTAGGCAAACCCTAATTTGAATAACCTGAAATCACAGCTTGGTAACAGAAGGATGTTTGCCGGGGGTGAAACACTGACTAGTGAAAACCTGTCATTACTGTTGTGCCAGTTCCGGCAAGAGCCTTAAATGAGGTTCCCGTGAGAGTCTTCTCTTGTCTCTCGTGTAGCGGCTCTCGCTGGGAGTCCTCTGTCATACCTCACAGGCCTTCTCTAGCTTGAAATAGAAATACATGCAATTTAATTATTTAGAATTTTCAACCCAGTTTCCCGTGAGGAAAGATCAGTCCTTATCTCACAATATACAGTATCACTGGTGCATGAAGGTGAGGATTATTGCCATGCCTGCCTAACTTCACCAACATGGAACATTGTTTCTGTTGGAAAACACTTCCGGTTCGGTGCAGGACTCCCAGAACACACCTCTCCTGACAGGTCTTTTCTCCAGGGGCGGCTGGAATAAGACCCAAGACCCCTTTAAGTCGAAGGCTTCAAAGAGAATAGCCTGCTTTGTTAGCGGGCGCAGAGGTGGGGAGAGCAGCCTTGACCCTGACTCCTGCCTTAGCCTCCCATGCTGGATGACCTTCGGCAAGTGTCTGCTGCTCTCTGTGCTCTTTGGTATTTACAACAAGATGATGGTACTTAGAGACCTGAGAGTTAGATGAAAGGAAATTGAAGGTACTCTGAAGAGTAGCTATGATGACACGTGTAGAGAATGGATTTTTGTTCCCTTCTCTCCATTCTTCGTATGGAAACAATGAGCTGTTGTGGTGAGGGGAGGGATATGGGAGGAAGGGGATGCCTTGGAAATAGATCACCGTGTGTAGCATGGTGTGATTTCCCCCCTCCCACTTGGACATACCAGTAGTAGCACGATCACAGCAAAACTCCACTGCTGTGCCGTCCTGCCTGCCAGGCTGCCAGTGGGGACCAGTGGGAGGAGGGCAGTCCCTTGCACTGGTTCTGCCCACTGGCAGGTCCCGGCATCTGCTTCTTTGGGGTCCAGCTTTTGCTGGTGTTGGTGCTTCTGTCTGTCATTCCAGAGTATTTCAGACTTGAACCTTTTCTGCTCTGCAGGTGAATATGGCTGCAGAAGGGCCCCCTCCTTTCCCAGGCGTGCCCCTCATGAGCTCCTCCATGGGAGGCCCTCTACCGCCGCCCATTCGCTATGGACCACCTCCTCAGCTCTGCAGGCCTTTCGGGCCTCGGCCATTTCCTCCACCATTTGGTATGATAATGGACTTGCCAACCACCTCTCTGTGTGCTCCTTGCTAAGATTTTAACAGTTACTATCGCGGGCTCTGCAATGAAAGGGTAAAGCTGGCGGAGTCCCTTTGAACTTGTCCTAAAGTTTCTTAGGACAAAAGGGGTGGGGGGTGGGGAGCTGCATAATCTCCCTCCACTGGGGTGGGCAGAATGCTATCTATCTCTTGTAGACAGCAGAAAGGGGCTGCTTATAGGAAGCCAGAAATACTACTGCTGCAGATGTTCATTGAACATCTGGGGCTGCGTGCCCGGCTCTGTGGTGGATCGAACTCACTACTCTCTGAACTCCGAGAGCTCAGGGTGTCCTATAGGACCAGCTACATATGCCATATGTGTGAATGGCTCAGAGTATAAAGGGAAGACTAAACCCTCACTCCCCACCTTGGGAATAAATGGGAAGGAAGTTTTAAAGAGAAGGTGGCGTGGAATAGCTACCTAGTGGATGTTGCTGAGTTTAATTAGGTGGAGCTGGAAGGCCTTCCCAGAGGGGCAAGCACCTTGATTTTGATGCCTAGTTCGGGTGATGCTGAGCCCCGCATGAACTTGTAATTGATACAGTGGTAGACAGGATTTCCTTTACCAAAACTTCTTTACCTTGTGAAGCCCTTTTTTTCATAATCGGTCAAATACAAGCCAAGCTCTTGTGAGGTAAAGATGGCAGACTAGTGACGTAGGAAAACCACAAGCGAGGCAGAGCCGTGTTGCAGTCCTGCCTGGCCTGAGGCCTGTCACTTAAACCTGCTGAGCCTCAGTGTGACTGATGTAGACAGTGGGGCTTCCACCCCCCGACTTCTAGGGTTGGGAGAAATGAAAGATGAACATTCCTGGAATCCCCTACACGGAGATATGTTCATACGTGACGCCGTTTTTATTTCCCCAGGTCCTGGTTTCCGGCCACCTCTAGGCAGAGCCGTGTTGCAGTCCTGCCCGTGCTGCTTCATGGCTGGCCGGCCAGAGGCCTGTCACTTAAACCTGCTGAGCCTCAGTGTGACTGATGTAGACAGTGGGGCTTCCACCCCCCGACTTCTAGGGTTGGGAGAAATGAAAGATGAACATTCCTGGAATCCCCTACACGGAGATATGTTCATACGTGACGCCGTTTTTATTTCCCCAGGTCCTGGTTTCCGGCCACCTCTAGGCTTAAGGGAATACGCACCTGGCGTTCCACCGGGGAAACGGGACGTGCCTTTCGACCCTCGAGGATTTGTACCGGGACACCCTCATTTTAGACCTGGAGGCTCTCCTGGCCCTCGGGAGTACTTTGCTCCTGGCCCCCGACTACCGCCCCCGAGCCACGGCCCCCCGGAGTACCCTTCCCCTGCTGCAAGAGACTCACTGCCTCCTGGCTCCAGAGAGGAGCCCCCACCTGCCTCTCAGAGCGGCAGCCAGGGCTCCTCCCAGACCTTGAAACAGAGCCCGTAACTCCGACATGCAGCCGGAGAGGAAGTGGACTGTGCGCTATCCATTACAGTCTCAGATCCAAAAGTTTCAATAAAGTTAGTTTTTAGACCTAAGCTGCCCCGGCAGTGTGCATTTTTGAGCCAAACAATGAAAAAATACCATTTCTCCCCTTAAATGAAAATCACCTCGTGAGCTAGAGCCTCCTCCCAACTTTGAAATGTGCAATAAAGAATACCTGTGTCTTAGTTCGTGTAGCATATGTAACTGTTCAATGATTTAGAACGTCATGAAAAATATGAACATTTCCTGTGGAAATGCCATAAGAACATGTATTTCCATTTATTATCCTGTTTTTAGTGGACACCAGTTGAACGCAGAGCAACGGTGTTTATAAGCTTGAATTTTTAAAGTATCTGGTCGCAAGGACTGTTACGCTAAAAATGTTTACTAAGAAATCACTGAACTTTATCTCCCCTCTTGCTGAAGTTCTTTGTAGTGGAAGTTCATTAAAATTTGGTTATTGATGTTTCCCAAGAGTCTGTTGATTCATTCGACTGTTTTCTCATGAGACTTGTGCCATTTGGGAAAGATGAAAGCTCGGGCTCCCAGACCAAGTTCCCTGTTGCTCCCTGCTCGGCAGGTTCGGCCTCAGTCACCCAGGCATCAGGACTGAGGGCTTCCTTCACTTGAGAGCAGTCATGGGCCACCTTGACAGCACTCACGGCGTTCCGTGACTACCTGCCTGGGCCATTCCCGAAGATGAGTTTACAGCAGTAGCAAGGACTGTCTGACCTGATGTTCTGTTGCTTTTGCCATTTGTGCATTAAGGGTGCACAACAGAAGCCCACTGGTTTGGTTCAGTGGTTGAGCATTGACCTGTGACCCAGGAAGTCAAGGTCCAATTCCTGGTCAGGTAGTGGAAGTTCATTAAAATTTGGTTATTAATGTTTCCCAAGAGTCTGTTGATTCATTCGACTGTTTTCTCATGAGACTTGTGCCATTTGGGAAAGATGAAAGCTCAGGCTCCCAGACCAAGTTCCCTGTTGCTCGGCCTCAGTCACCCAGGCATCAGGACTGAGGGCTTCCTTCACTTCAGAGCAGCCATGGGCCATCTGACAGCGCTCACGGCGTTCCGTGACCACCTGCCTGGGCCATTCCCGAAGATGAGTTTACAGCAGTAGCAAGGACTGTCTGACCTGATGTTCTGTTGCTTTTGCCATTTGTGCATTAAGGGTGCACAACAGAAGCCCACTGGTTTGGTTCAGTGGTTGAGCATTGACCTGTGACCCAGGAAGTCAAGGTCCAATTCCTGGTCAGGGCACATGCCCAGGTTGAAGGCTCAATCTCCAGTGTGGGGCGTGCAGGAGGCAGCTGATCGATGATTCTCTCATCATTGATGTTTCTATCTCTCTCTCCCTTCTCTGAAATAAATAAAAATGAGATTTTTTTTTTTAAAAAAAGGGTGCACAACAGAAAAATGAAAGCCATGTCTTGTGACCATAAAAGGAAGTTTCTTTTATTAAAAAAAGTAAAGTCTATTATTTCTCCCATACCTTGCCTATGATTTTCAATGAATATGGCAAAAACCATCAGAAGAGTAGAATACTATGAGAAAGAATGATTTAAGATTGGAAGGCTTGTAACATGCCCTAGGTCAGCAACCATGGGCTGACCTCAATTCTTTTTGTTGACTGATTCTTCTCCACAGTTAATATTTGAATGTTGGCATTTGTATTTAAAAATCAGTATATCTAAGAATTTGGGGTTACACCATACTTAAAAAGTACTCTTACTACACCATGGATTTATTTATTTTAAATTTTAATTTCTTATTGAAATTGTAGAGAAAGGGAGAGAGAGAGAGAGAGAGAGAGAGAGAGAGAAACATTGATGTGAGAAACATCAATCGGTTGCCTCCTGTTCATACCCCGACAAGGGATTGAACCCACAACCTGTGTTTGTGGCCTGACCAGGAATCAAACCTGCACCTTTCAGTGTATGGGATGATGCTCCAACCAACGGAGCCACACTGGCCAGGACTACACCATGGTTTTAAAACAATGTTTCTTAAGAACCAACTCTTTAGACCCTTTAAATTATAGTAACTTAATAGTATATTTTAAGAAGTTTAAGATTTAGATTAAATCAAAATGATAAAAAGCTGATATCCCTGTTAACTTTTTGACTATACTCTCCAGTTCTCTGAAGGTCTATGATATATGACCTACACCAGGGCCTGTCATTGTTACGACATTTACTCCACTAAGAACACCCGATTACAGAAAGCAAAAGCCTCACTGTGAAACCAAATCTTCCTTCATACTAAACCACTAACACATATACCACTTTAGAAAGATAAGCACCTTTGAAAGAAGATAACCCTTTCAAAATTCATAAGCAACATATCTTCAGCAAAAGAATTCCATCAATAGGCCCTCCCACTTAATATCAAGAATAGAAGAAATTTGAGAAGAACTCCATAGTTAACAGCAGAAGTTATTTTTTTAACCATGTAAAATAAGAGTAAATCACAAATAGAATATTTCAATCTCTTTTAGGACATAAAATAATGATGAAGTTAATATAATTTCTATTTTTTTTTTTTTT